ATCTCTTGACCTTGTGATCCACCCGCCTCGGCCTACCAAAGTGCTGGGATTACAGGCTTGAGCCACCGCGCCCGGCCAGTTTATGAAAATATTAATCAGAAAGTAGAGTTCCCATATGCCCCTTTATCTCCCCCTCCCGAATTTTCCCTATTATCAAAATCTTGCATTCATGTAGATCATTCATTACAACTGATAAGCCAGTATTGATACATTGTTATTAACTAAAGTTCACAGTTTATATTAGGGTTCACGCTTTGTGTTGTACACTATGGGTTTTGAAAAAATACATAAGGACATGTATACACCATTATAGTATCATAGGAATCCTTTCACTCCCTCAAAATCCTGTCCTCTCCCTATTCATCCTTCCCTATCTTGCCCTGAACCTCTGGCCACCACTGACCTCGTTACTGTCTCCATAGTTCTTCTTTTTCCAGAATCACCTGGGGTCAGGAGTTCGAGACCAGCCTGGCCAACATGGTGAAACCCCATCTCTACTAATACAAAAACATTAGGTGGGTGTGTTGGCGCATGCCTGTAAACCTAGCTACTCAGGAGGCTGAGACAGGAGGATCACTTGAACCCGGGAGGCGGAAGTTGCAGTGAGCCAAGATCGTGCTATTACACTACAGACTGGGCGACGAGCAAAACTCCGTCTGCAAAAATAAAAAAAAAATAAAAGAAACTGCCAAACTGTCCTCCAAAGTATCTGTACCATTTTGTATTTCCTGCGGCAATGAACGAGAGATCCTGCTGTTCCAAATCCACACCAGTGTTTGGTGGCATCAGTGTTTTGGATTTTGGTCATAATTTAGGTGTGTAGTGGCATCTCACTGCTATTATATGCACAATCTAATGACATGATGTGGAGCATCTTTTCATCTGCATTGCCATCTGTCTGTCTTCTTTGGTGAGGTATCTGTTCAGATCTTTGGCCCACCTTTAAATTGGGTTATTTTCTGACTATTGAGTTTCTTCTTTTCTTTCTTTCTTTTTGAGACAGAGCCTCACTCTGTCGCCAGGTGCCAGGCTGGAGTGCAGTGCTGCGATCTCGTAGTACAACCTCCGCCTCCCAGGTTCAAGCAATTCTCCTGCCTCAGCCTCCCAAGTAGCTGGGACTACAGGCGCACACCACCATGCCCAGCTAATTTTGTATTTTAGTGGAGACGGGGTTTCACTATGTTGGCCAGGATGGTCTCGATCTCTTGACCGCATGATCCACCAGCCTTGGCCTCCCAAAGTGCTGGGATTAATATCAAAGGCCTCAGGTGATCCTCCCAAAGTGCTGGGATTACAGACGTGAGACATCACTCCCAGCTATCAGAGGCATTAAACAAGACAGTTCTATCAGAAGGGGAATGGTAAACTAAATAGTAAACATCAGCACAACTTAAAGCCATTAAAAAGAATTAGATCTCTAAGAAAAGAGTTGAACCCAGATGTGCTACAGTTTCATGCCTTTGAGGCACTGTATGTATTGCTCCCTCTACCTGAGACATTTGTCCCTATCCTTGTCTATGAATTACTCATAGGCAACTGACAAAAGTTCATGTCAACTGACTGACTCAGGAATCAATTGACAAGACTCAGTTTAACTATTGGTTCCTTTGTGCAGCCTCCCTTGACTCCCTAAACAGAAAAGCCCACTCCCCTCCTTGATGCCCCCACAGTAATATGGATCCACCTTCATTACACTTATTTCTATATTGCCTTTGTTTAGATGTCTGCCTCTTCCACTAGGCTCCAGAAAGGCAAGCACCATGGCTAGTTCCTTGCACTGCTAGGACCCAGCACAACCCTTAGGACAATAAATACTCAGGAATCTTTGCAGAGAAGCGAGGACGAGGGGACTTGGTAAGGGCTATGAAGACCTCCTGCCTCCATCCTCCTCCTGCCTCCTCCTGCCTCCATCCTAGAATTTTCTAGGCTGATGGCTTGGAACCAAATAGTCACACAGGAATCTACTGGCACCTAAACTAATTCCCACTTTCAGGGAACCTTGTCATTCAGGATCCAGGTCCTCCTCTAGGACCGAAGGTGGCAAAATGTGTGCCCTTTGGAAACACTCCATGATACATGAAGAAAGGGCCAAAGTCACAATTCAAAATCTTAGCTGTGGAAGCCTGGGAGGATGGTGGGTTTGGATGCTCTATGGCCTTCTGATGCCTCTACCACTGCAATACAAGTGTCTTTAATTGTCCAGTGTCCTATAAAAAAGGATGGAAAACTAGAACACTTTCAAGGGGCTTATGCAAATATGTAAAGTGGCTGAATTATACTTTAAACTCAACCGATATCAGTTAGGGTAGATCAGTAGCAAATATCCTTACCTTTTTAAAGAAGGAATGAAAACTAAAGCAAGGGGTACCAGATTGAGTTAATTCCTCATGCTGAAACAAAAATAAAGTGAACCAAAAATACACCAGTGTTCAGTTAATGTGTCCAATGTGGAGGCCAAACTACTAGGTGATTCAAGCTCTAGGTGGGTGTTCTAATTAATAACAACCAAAAAAAAACACTGGTTTTTTTTTTTTTTTTTTTTTTTTGCTACACAGTCCTAATCTTAGAAATCCTCAGTGGCCAGGTACGGTGGCTCATGCTTATTACCCCAGCACTCTGGGAGGCCAAGAGAGAGGATCGCTTGAGGGAAGGGGTTACCAGTCTGGACAACACAGCAGGACGCTATCTCTACAAAAAGTAAAACAAATAAGCCAGGCATGCTGACAAGCGACAGTAGTACCAGCTACTCAGGCGGCTGAGGTGGAATGATTGAACCCAAGAGTTCGAGGCCACAGAGAGATATGATTGCACCACTACCCTCTAGCCTAGGCAACAGAGAAAGACATTGTCTCTTAAAAAAAAAAAAAAATCCTCAGAGATCATTTTTGAAAGAAGCTTCAATGCAATGTACAATCAAGTATCTTTCCTTGGTCCTTAAATTACTCAAAATAGGTAATTCCTAAATATTAACAAAATACTTTCATGTTTCTAAATCTTGCTAGCAACATCTCATTCTATGAACTAGACAGCTCTGGCAATGAAGACACCACAGGAAGTATTACTTATAGTAAACCATATTTTCATTGATATTTCATTTAACATAATTTCAAAGTCAGTCTATGCTTTAAGACAGGCAAAAGAACAGATATTCTAAATCTCATAAGAGAGTTTTTCACACTGTTCCTCTGAGCAGGGAATGGGGTTTCAGGGTTCTCAATGACAACACCTAACATTTTAACATGGAGATTTACCAGTAGATACAGAAAGCAATAACATCACTATACAAGAATCGATCTCTATGAGGGTCTCAATAAGCTTGTGGTACATACTCACCACCTCTGTAGGGTTGTAATGATAACGACCGATTTTCCACTCCTCTGCCAAATTTGGTGTCTTTTTTTTTTTTTTAGGCAAAATGTCAAAAATGCAAAAAATATCCCTTATTTCTCTTAATACATTGAAAATAGTGGAAGATTCAGATTTGAATTCTTCATGAGTCCAGCTTGGAACACGACTTCTACTCATCATATTTCCATCAACATACGAACTCCAACTTTGGCGACTACCAGCAAACTGTTCAAAAGAAACAGAAAACGTCAAGTAAAGGACAGAACAGGCAGCTACGTTTTTAAGGAACTAAACTCTGCAGGTTCGTCACAACTGCGTGGGGGAGGAGGTACTAAGGCAAGAGTGGTCACAGGTAAAATTTCCATCCCTGGAGGAACCAGAGAAAAGCATGCCAAGGAACAGTATCACTCTGAGGTCTTAAAATAGCACACATGAGCTGGATCCTAATGCAACTGCCAATAATTTGAAGAAACAGAGGCAAGAGAGAGCAAGGCTGCCCCACCACACAGAGCTAATTAATGGTAGAACCTAAAGCCTCTTAGTTTACTGCCCTTGATCTAGCTCCACACTGACTCTTTTGCTTCAGGTATAAAACATTACACTGGCAGCATCACGATCATGATCAAAGTAGAGGGATGTAATCTTTCTCCAAAATAGGCTTTTTAAAATTCCCCTGCCTTTAGGATGTCTTTAGCATACTTAACAACTGAATTTTTTTTTTTTTTGAGATGGAGTCTCACTCTGTTGCCCAGGCTGGAGTGCAGTAGCACGATTTCAGCTCACTGCAACCTCCGCCTCCTCAGTTCAAGTGACTCTCCTTCCTCAGCCTCCTGAGTAGCTGGGATTACAGGCATGCACCACCACACCCAGCTTATTTTTGTATTTTTCATAGAGACGGGGTTTCACCTTGCTGGCCAGGCTGGTCTCGAACTCCTGACTTCAAGTGATCCAACCGCCTCGGCCACCCAAAGTGCTGGGATTACAGGTGCAAGTCACTATGCCTGGCCTACAACTGAATTTTCTAAAACTCACAATTTGGTTTAGGTTTTATAATCAAAATTAGAAAACAGGATTCAATCAAAATTCCCTTTCAGCAAAATTTTCTATAAAAAGTCACCTATACATCTAAGAAATATGGGACCCCCCCCACACATCCACCTCAAGTCACACAAAAGGCTGCAGTCATGGCTTCACACTAAAACTTCGGCCACCATAGGGAGGAGCTAGGATGGACCAGAGAACAAATACAAGAACAAAGCCATTTTCACAGTGAATGGATATACTCATGCCATTTTGACATTAAACCAACTATTGCTTTTGAAGCATTTTCTACTAGTGTATAAATCAAATGTCAGTTAATGCATGGTATCAGATATCCTAAAACGAGTAAAGTTTTGAACGCACAAAGTATCCTAGGCAATAAAGAATAATAATAGAATAGAAAGTACCTGGCACCTGCGATTAAACCTACAGGCATGACTTTTCCATGGTAGTAGGATCTCAGTGCCATAACACTAGCAAAGGTACCAGATGTAGCGGCTGAAAAAGATACAAAGAAGGGTGAAAACTCATTACATCTTCTACGCAGGGGAATCAGAAGTGGGCCAAGCCCCACTTATCTCTCCAGGCTCACACCTCATCCTATGCTCATTCCTCCTGCCCCAGGCAGGGGAAGATTACTGGCTGCCCACATCCTATGGATCCAATTACCAATATTGGTCAAATAGGGCCCTTCAAAGCCTGCCTGCCCTTCTGGCCTCAACTCTTACTTACCACTCATCTTCTGCAAAACCCACTTCAGCCATCAATGTGTTAGTTTTCTCCAAAATGCTGCTGTTTTTCATGCCATGCAGACACTATTTCCTCTACCCTGCACACAATTCCCACTGGCCATCTGTCAAAGCACCTACTACATGTCAAGCACTGTAATAGGTGCTGAAGAATACAAAGGTAATCGAAACTGTCTTTGCCCTTTTACAATGCTTCAGGTCTGATGGGACAGACTTTAAAGAAACACACAAAGAAAAAGAAAAGTACAACTTGTGCTTCAGGTATAATTGATGCTACACAAAAAAACATAACAAGGGGATCAACCTACTCAGGGAGATCATGCAAGGCTTAGCCAAGGAAGGGAAGATTGGCTGAGATCTGAAATTACAGCAGGAGTTAATGAGCTGAAGGATGGGAAGGCCCATTCCAGGCAGAGGGGACAGTATGTATATGCAGAGGCCCCGGAATGAGAGGGAGCACACCACATTCACCCTAAAAGGCCACTGTGGCACAGAAGTCAAGATGCAGCTTGTGAGGAGGAGGTGCCTGATGACATGGAGGCTTGAAGGCCATACTAGGGATTGGGTTTTCATTGTAAGAGCAATGAGAAGTTATTAAAGAATACTAAAGCCGGGCACGGTGGCTCAAGCCTGTAATCCCAGCACTTTGGGAGGCCGAGGCGGGTGGATCACAAGGTCAAGAGATCGAGACCATCCTGGTC